CTTCCAGTAACGTATAAAAAAAGAAAAATATACGAAAGAAACAGTACATTCCGCCACAGGCTGCATAAATAGAAATAAAAGTGATTTAACTCCTAAATGGCAGATAGTGAGACTGCACAGGCATGATCTATACACTAAAACTGTTTCATTAAGCAAAAGTTTTTTTCCGTGACTAAAGTAACCCTTTAATATTAATAATGGGAATGGGAAAAAATTAATAATGGGAATTTTGAATTCAAGGGCTATGAGTTTACTATTCGGCAACTATTAAAAGAACACTCCAAGCACCATAACTACTACAGTGTGATGTAGTGGTGATGGTGCTAAGAGACTTCAGGGCAAGTGCTACCATAAGGTGGCACAGGCAGCTGCTTTAGGGCACAGGATTCAGGTGACCAGCAGGAGGAGAGTGCAGCTCAGTGCTCCCCTCCTGCCAGACACTCCTGTGTAGCATTGCCAAGCATGGACTAGAGGACAAGAGCTTGTTTCCCTCTCCCACAGTTTGACAGGAAGTACCAAACTGCTTCTTGTCAGACCAGGGAGAGAGAAACAAGCTCCTGTCCCCCCGTCAATGCTTGGCAATGCTACACAGGAGGAGGGAAGTGAGCTGGCATATGAGTGGGGGTGGGGGGAGGGAATAAGGCATGTGACAGGGGCTGGGGAAAATGAGACACATAAGGGGAGCTGGGGGCAATGAGACACATGAGGGGAGCTGGGGCGATGAGAAACATGAAGGGGCTGGGGACAATGAGAAAATGAAGGGCTGGGGACAATGAAACACAAAGTGTGCTGGAGACAATGAGACAGAAAGGGGGTTGGGAACAATGAGACACACAGGGGGCTAGGGACAATGAGACACATGAGGGGGTCTGAGGACAATGGCACATGAGGGTGACTGGGTACAATGAGACAAAAGGGGGCTAGGGGTAATGAAACATGAGGGAGGCTGAAAAGAGACTTGTGTCCATCAAGTTCAGCCTTCCTCACATTTGGTTTTTGCTGTTGATCCAAAAGAAAGCAAAAAAACTTTGAGCACTTCCAATTTTGCAACAAACCAGGAAATAATTTCCTCTTGACCCCAGAATGGCAGTCAGATTAAGAAGCATTTATCCTACATTGAAAAATTATATCCTTGAATATTCAGTTTTTGCAAGTATACATCTAGTTGCTTTTTAAACATCTGTATGGACTCTGACAAAACCACTTCTTCAGGCAGAGAATTCCATATCCTTATTGTTCTTCTGGTAAAAAAAACATTCCTTTGCCTTAGACTAAATTTTCTTTCTTCCAGTCTAAACGCATGACCTTGTGTCCTATGTAAAGTCCTGTTTGTGAATAGATTTCCACACTGCCACACAATGGTTTGTATTGGCCATGAATCTATTTGTATAATGTTATCATATCCCCTCTGAGGCAATGTTTTTCTAAACATAAGAGGTTTACATTTGTAAACCTTTCTACATAGCTAAAATCTTCCATTCCTTTTATTAATTTTGTAGCCCGCCTTTGCACTCTATCTAGTGCCAGAATATCCTTCTTTAGAACAGGTGTCCAAAATTGCACAGCATAATTAAGACACATGAAGAGGCTGGAGGGAGTAAGAGACACACAAGGGGGTGGATGACATTTGAATGGGGCATTAAGGGACTGTCAGAGGTATTATGTAGGAAGGAAATACGTATGTAGTGTGTGATAAAAATAATACATGCATAATACCAAAAACGCAATTTAGCTAATATGCCATGAGGTGCTAAAAGGAAGAAACAAGATGTTTTTCTCAAAGTATGACCCTAAAAGAGCCAGACAGTGAGTAAATACATCTGTGTCAATAAAAGAAAATAACACAGATAAGACAAGTATGTGTTGATTAAAACACACATATATCGCCATGAGGTATATAAATTAGGTTTAATTATATATAAAAATAGAAATATAGTGGGATATATCCTAACTTAGCAATTTACATATATACAAACTATATACATATAAAAATTTAATTAGCAATTATATAAATTAAGTTTGCTTTAATATCTTGAAATTGCCATAACGCTTAGGTGAACAGGGAAACATTGGTTTATTGGTTTGAGACCAAAGTCCACATCGAGAGAAAAGAAGAAATGTTGACCAAAGCATCTTGAAATTAAACATTCCTAAATTGTCCTGAACAAGAATTATCCCTATATGATAATAGCTGGTAACATTCCTGACGTAGACCAACAGCTCCACCTGTTGTTAGAAACATATAGAAATATTTGTCAAAATGACGTTAACAGCCATTAACATAATGACTTGCCCCAAAATTTCATTGGACTAGGTCAGAAGGTTAACAAATAAGGAATTACATATAACCCCATGATATACACACACAAAAGGAGTCACACAGAGACACCAAGGGACACACAGGAGACACACACAAGGAGAAAGGAGATAGGACAAGAAGACATATTGGGTTTCATGATAGCTCATGATAAAAATTGATATCTCAAACTGCAGACTGGAATATTAATCAAAATCATGAACTATAAAAATAGAATATTAACAGTTACCCATAGGAATATTAATCATGTAACAATATAGGAAATATTTACCAGATAAGAACTGTTTTAACTAAACCTGCAACAATTTAGTTACAGGATAAATTAATTAATCATAATTAATTACTCTGAAACAGCACCGAGCTGGTTAAAATTCTGTGGCTAGCTGATAAAACATTGTCCATAGAACTTTGCACCTGAGTAAATAACAAACTCTGTCCAGTTAAGTCTAATGAATGGTGTTTCCAATAAGCAAACAATCCACATGTGTTTGTAAATTGTACTAAGAAGTATAAAGGTAAGATTGTACTTTAAGATCCTGAAAAATTTGGTCTTTAAATCATAATAATCCATATGCTGATAAACTCATATGTTTCCTTATAATTTAACAAATAGTAATATTCTATTTGCTGATTGTCTCAATCAATAGTGTATGAAGAACATATTCCATATACTAAACCGGTTGATTGAATTTGTCATGAACTAACAATCCTGTCGCTCCAGGGAGCTTGGAATTGTTTTGCTGGGATTGTGATACTCTACTATGACATATCTTGTTCAATATTATTGAAAAACTATTCACTAACTACCATGTATAATTACACTTATTGACAAAAATAAATATTGTAATTTTTATATAAAGTTGTGATATTATTGTATGAAGTATTAACATACTCCAGGTCTAAAGAGTTAAAATAGTGAGTAACTCTTTGCTTTAAATAATAAATGGGAATAGCACCATTAAGATATCAACCCCTAATATTTTAATAAAGATTATTAATATTAATAATTTTTATGAAAATAGTATTTTTAATTAATAAAAAATAATTAATAATAATTCCCATAAATATCCTCACAGGGACACACAGGTGAAGATGCATTTTTTTGGGGGGAATGAGCACGGTGGGCTGTGAAGGGGGGCAGGGAGGCAATTGCCCCCCAGAACGCCCTAAGTCCAGGGCTGCTTGGGCCGCCAGTTGCCTGCAATAACTTTTTTATGATCGTGTTCAGTGCTCAAGCCGGGTCACCTGTTGGCAATCACTTTACTCCTCCCCTGCGTGTGGTGTGATGTCTCGCACAGAGACAGTCACGCTAGGGTCTCACTGTGACTGTGCCGGCAGTCACCACCTCCCTCCCATGCGTGCAGCCAATGCGTGTTGTACACACCCTCAGGACACAGGTATGTGCAGTTCCCCAGCCAGCTACACAGCAACCCTCATCCCACACAGCCACCCACACAGCCTCCCTTCCAGCACCCTCAGCCACCCACAAAGCCTACCCTACTTTCACCACCAGCCACCTACATAGCCTCCCCAGCATATAAATACTTACATAAAGATTTACAGTTCCCCCAGCACATATACAGTCCCCCCCAACATATTTTATACAGCCCCAAGCACATATATAGCCCCCATATATTTTTATATACTCCCCAGCACATACACAGGCCCCCACTAACATATTTGTTACAACCCTCACTACATATACAGCCCCCCAGCATACACACAGTCCCTCCACATATTTTATACAGCCCCACAGTCCATATACAGTCACCACCAACATATTTTTACAACCCCAAGTACATATACAGCCCCCCAGCATATATACAGTCCTCCAGCCAACATATGCAGCCCCCAGCCAGCTATACAGTCCCCCCTGCCATATATACAGCCCCACAGCCATAGTATGCATACCCCTGCTTTATATATATATATGGCATGCTGACAAATTGCATTAACAACAAAACAGCTGTCCATGAGTGGTTCACTGGTTTTGCATCTTTTCCTATATTGTGTTTCAAGCTGTTGTATACAGCAAACACAAATTAAAAGGAATCCATGTTGAAAATGGAATGAGGCAAAAATGTGATTCTTTGTTAAACTAATTTGCATATGCCCACCCAGAATCCTCTGCGGTTGTAACATCGCTTCCGTTTATGGGATTTCTGTGGGAAAAGCAAGTATTATGGCTTGACTGGTGTGCAAATTTTTGTTTCAAATTGTATTAATTATATATTTATATATATATATATATATATATATATATATATATATATATATATAAAACAACACGATATATATATTTGTAGTCTGGGTAATTTTGCCGTAACTCTTTAACTGGGTTTGGTTTGTAAAGAGTATAAGCAGAAGATTTCCAGTGTCCCATAACTTTGATGATATGAGCTGGAATGTGGTTGGAGGAAGCGGATGATGCCACCCCTATACAGTAGGAATGTCCTGAGAAATGGTTTACATTTAGGCCGACTCTAGATAACAGCAAACGACATAGAGCATAAATGTGGTAGTAGCGAGGATTGAGCCGTGCAGTTCTAATAGGGGTTAGTTTACTGCCCCCCAACCCTCACTATTATTAGGGTGAGGGGGGTAGGTAGGGCATTTTTACTGGGGGGTGACTAGTTGGGAAACCTAAATAAATAAATAATGAGGGTACCTAATATGCCCCCAAGTCCCCACCCATAACCGGCGGGTGGGGACCCCATGTCACTTTATTATTTGTGGTCCCCACCCGCCGGTTATGGGTGGGGACTTGGGGGGGAAGTGCTAAATTTGCATCAAATGTTGTTGTTAACGGAACATGTCAGTGTTAGGAATACAAGCATGTATTCCTAACACCATAGTTTCCTGGGTCTGCCCCACCCCCTGAGTGCATTAAAAAACTCTCTCTCTCTATTTATCTCTCTCTTATCAATATTGGAGTCCCCATCCCCTGTCAAAGAGTGGGGGCTAGTGTCCCCTATAAGACTCCTATGGTGGTCCACGTCCACTCATCACAAATGTGGGTCGTGGGAGATACTAAAATTTCCCACTAAGTTTAAATGTGCTCTTACCTACTGGCCCTGCGTAGGGTGAAAATGGGACACTAAGCACCCCCTCCCCCCTCCCCCACATTATTATTATTTGACTAGAGTTTCACTGCAAGGGAATGGAAGCTACACTGTGTCCCTAAGTTATTTTTAACCTCTCAAGGGCTCAACTTCTGGAATAAAAGAGAATCATAATGGAATATTTCCGTCGTGTCCTTAAGGGGTTAAATTTATTAAGAGCCCAACTGTGGGTGCATAATGTGTCGAAAGCTATCTTTAAATTAAAGCCCCATCTGATGCCCACTGGAGGGGGGGGGGGGGACAACATTGGGATGTTATAGCTGTTCACTTGCTAGTCTTTTATTACAGCAAGCTGCCGGTGGATGTCCGTTGTTTAGCAGAAATAGTAACAGTATATCTGGTTTAGTTACATCATAACTTTCACCTACTCTGAAAACTGACTTCCAGTACACATCAACTGCTGTATGCTGTAAATGGATCAATGGGCTCATAATGTAATTATTTTTTATGATGTTGCTTTACCCTCATTTTATGTCCTAATTATTAGTTGATTTATTTAATTATTTATTTTTTATTTCTGACTACTGAGCAGAGGAAGTTTTACAATGTTTCTCTCTTATTCTGCAACACACTGGAAAGGTTAAAGGATCTTAACATGTATAGCTTGGAGGAGAGACGAGACAGGGGGATATGATAGAAACATTTAAATATATAAAGGGTATCAACACAGTAAGGAGGAGACTATATTTAAAAGAAGAAAAACTACCACAACAAGAGGACATAGTCTTAAATTAGAGGGGCAAAGGTTTAAAAATAATATCCGGAAGTGTTACTTTACTGAGAGGGTAGTGGATGCATGGAATAGCCTTCCAGCTGACGTGGTAGAGGTTAACACAGTAAAGGAGTTTAAGCATGCGTGGGATAGACATAAGGCTATCCTAACTATAAGATAAGGCTAGGGGCTAATGAAAGTATTTAGAAAATTGGGCAGACTAGATGGGCCGAATGGTTCTTATCTGCCGTCACATTCTATGTTTCTATGTTTCACTGTAACAATTGTAGCCAGTGTTACTTTATTCCTCATTGCTATTTTGTTACAAATGTTGTATTGATACATTTTCTGGTAACTCATATACTGTTTAGTATATAGTTGAATTTTTTTCACTTCTTGTCACTATTTCAAATTCTATGTTTTTGTAGAGTTAGAGAGTGGGATAGCTATTGAGAAAGGTTTTAGCAGTTAACATGAATCAGTTCCTGTCATTCTTTCTATTTTAGTGCCAAAATGCTTTATTAATTATTGCTCAATGCCAGTAGTTTACATTTGTAGCAAGGAAACAACTAGCGATAATAACCACTATTATGTTACTTGTTGCAAAAAAATAAACATTGCAACAAGTTTGCAAACTAACCCTAAGTTAATACCATTAAATGTATATAAATATATTATTTTGTGCTTGACAAAGCTTGGCAAAGACCTCTTAGTAGGTTGAAACGTTGTTGCTCCTTTTCCGTTGTTGCTCCTTTTGTTCTATTAAAACTGCCTGCGGCTTTAACACATTGAGTGCCTGAAGAATTTCTTGTGCTGCCTTATTGTTGTGGGATTGCTGGTCCTTCTCCGGAGCATCGGGTGGCTTCTGGGATTGAGTGCGGCTCCTATCATCATTTTTGTAACTTTCTCATAAGGACACTTAGTGCAGCACCCACCTGTTTTTATGTGGGGGGGAGGAGGGGGGAATATTGGCAGTGGTTTAGAAACACTAAGATATTAGATATTTCTTCTGGGAAGGTAAGATTAAAATATGGGAAACAAAGTAGATTTTAAATATATAATACACAAGATCCAAGAGTGCACTCACTCATCCACTAAACAACAACTTCAAAGCTCACAGAGTTTATTAGTTTTTTTTTTGTTTTTGTATTTTTAAACCACCTAATCTAGGCAAAAATAATGGAGGTTTAGTTACAGTATATGATCATATATTGCATAAACTTGCCACAACGTCAATGTACCCCATCTTTGTCAGGTCCTACTCTTACAGCCTAATGTCCACTCTTATGAGATGAACCCAATTACTTGGGGGGGGGAAATCCCATCTGGGGCTCTCTGCAGTGCAAGGCTAAATAGGACCCTGGAATAAGGCGGAGGTTAGAGTAGGACCTGCCAAAGAATAGGTACATTGACCTTGTGGCAGGCTTATGCAATGTATTATCATATAATGTAACTAAACCCCCATTATTTTGAGACTAGGTATTTTCAATTTTTTTTTAAAAAAAAACGAAGAAAATCTGTAAGCATTGAAGTTGCTGTTTAGTGCATGAGTGAGAATGCTGGATCTTGTGAATTGTACGAATTGGCCCCAGCAGCACCCCATTTATGCATGTTAAGGTGAGTGCAGCTCCCAAATTTCATATATACATTTGGGAGTCTAGGCCAACTCCTTGGTTTTGCACCCTTCCCTGTCACAGGCGCCTCATTCCAGGGCCCCATTTAACCTTGTACTGCAGAGAGCCCCAGATGGAATTTTTTCCCCCAAGTAGATGGGTTAATAGCATAAGTGCAGACATTAGGTTGTTAGAGTAGGACCTGCTAAAGAAGGGGTACATATCCTCCCTCAGCCTCCTGTGTGTTTTTGCAGTGCCAGCTTACCTTCTTGTAGCGTGGCTGAGCGAACAGCAGTGCAGGATCTTCTGTTTCCTCTTCCTGGTCTGACAGGAAGCTGCTTATTGCTCTGAGTGAGTAGCTTCTTGTCAGACTGACACGATACGGATGATTGCTTTACCACGGTCCACTCATCCAAACTACATGACCCACAGGAGTACTGTGCTGTGCGCTCCCTTCCTGCTGGTCACCCAGAGACTGCAACCCCACTTCAGGCCGCTGCCTAATTCTCCCAGCAATCAAACTGGCCCTGGGTGCCCATGACTCTGTGTTGGATAGTTAGTTGGTATATCCTTATTGTGCACAGCTCTGTGTATTGTATTCAGCTCAATCTGTCGTATGCTTATCTCTGTATTTTAACCAGCTCTCTGTATTTTATGGGTATCTTTGTGTTATTGTATGATCATTTCTGTATTCTGTTGTGCTCTGTGTATTGTATGGGTTTCTCCTTATTGTATTGGGTTCTTTGTATTGTGTTGATATCTGTACATCATATAGCTCTGTGTATTGTATGGATATTTCTGTATTGTACTCAGTTCTGTGTATTGTTTAGGTGTCTATTTATTGTACCTAGCTTTGCGTATTGCATGGTATCTCAACATTGTATGTAGCTCTGACAACTGTAGGGGTATATCTGCATTACATGTAGCTCTGTATATTGTATAACGACTACCATTAGGATACATCCCACTGTGTAGAAGATTGTGGCTACAGAGTTAAGGGGTCCAGTCAAATTTCGGATCAGGAGTCTGGCACCCCTCTATCTTAAAACTTCAACAGATGCTACTGATTTTACAATTAATTATTTAAATATGATTCTTATTTTAATACTAGTTTCTAGGTTGTAACTATCTTAATTTTTTTGGAGGTTTTATTATTTACCACCAATCTATATCATCATTTACCATCTCCCTATATTACGGTTTGAATCATGTAGAACTGATACAGTTTCTGTTTATTTTTGTCACCACACCAATTCCTTTCAAATAAAAAGTTAAAAAGGGTAGGCTTATTAATCTCTGTCCAATTAAAATTTCTAAATATCCACTGATTTACTTATGTATATAATTACTTTTCCAATGACGTTCAGTTACCATAAATTCTACCATGTTACGGCTGACTACATTTTCCCCATTCACACTTTCTTAAAGAGCTAATTAACATTGTAGCTACCCACATTCACCGAATTCTATATCAACCTCATTCAATCAACATGAATAACTAACAAGTCATTCGAAATGTGTCTCAGGGCAGACTACACTGTGAAAATGATCAGATGATTATCTGTTTTAAATACTCATCCCTTACCTGTATCCTTGGAATAAAGTTCTAAGTCATGTGTTTTCTTTTATTCTCTACCATGTAGAAGCAATTTGATCCATGACTTTTATTTTTTTCACACAAGAAGAACAAAAATGTAATATTAGTTGGAAATCTGATCAGTTCATGTCAGTCACCTTTATTGAGTTTACTAATTGAAATAAAACCAAGCCTTATTTTTATACCTTCATTAAAATTTGTCTCTGAATGTATACACCTATGCCATGCATGTCTGTCAATGTATCCATTTTGGAAGGTCATAGTGACCGTCCTTATTGAATTAAGATACTTACATGGGACATCTATTCTCATGTGCTAGACATTTAAAAAATAAATAAAACATATTTAGTTTTATTGATTGTAAAGTGTCCTATACTTTGACTGAAGGAAACATGATCTTCTACCAAAGAGTACACATCTGCATGCCTCAGTATTATTTTTATCATTATTATTGGTATTTATATAGCACCAGCTTATTCCGCAGCACTTTACACTAAGAAGGGAATTTTACAAATGAGACAATAACTAAATGCTACAGGAAAAATAGGTAGATGAGGACCCTACTCAAACAAGCTTACAGTCTAGAGGAGGTTGGGCATAGAACACAATAGAAAGGGTATTGAGGGAGAAAGCAAATAAACATGGTGGGAACGCAGCAGAACTGGAGGTGAGAGTGGAGTGTGGTCCTTTAGGAGAGAACAAGACACAGGCTCGTGAG